GCTGGATGGGGAAAAAGCTGGTTTTCTACAAGGATGCTAGGTATTCCTGTATTGAAATATATTCAGGATGATAGGTTGGTGGAGAAGAGTGGGAGAGAGCCTGTAGAGCTGTCAAGACAGGATATATATACCTTTTGACATGGGAATGCCAGTCTTCCAGAAGATCGATAGGCCCATGTTTAGGCAAAGCCAGGAGGGAAAGGGAAGGCATCTCAGAAGTCTTGTCAATTTCGCTCCACGCCCTTGCATATCCCAAACGGATAAACACTGCATGATGACTGTAGCGCTGGCACCAACTAGTGTGACCCACAGCGCTCAGAAATATCCCATGTACCACACAAAAAGCTGCCCCCTCCAAAGTAACCAAAGCAGTGAAAAGTGTGGTCCCACAAAACTACCGGATCACAAAAGAAACTGAACATCTGCCCTGCTCTCCTTTGAGACTGGAGCAACAAGAAACTGCTGGCAGAATTTGACTCTCTTTCCCAGATTAAATTGATCAGATTGTTACTATATTTTTTTAAAGACAGGTCTACCTCTTTTCCACAAGACTGCTAAACATGTGTTTAAAAAAGAGTTGTATTGCTCTTCCGGACGATTGGTAGTCCATGGAAGGAGAGTACTTGGAATGCCTAAGAAGCACTTTCCAAACACCATTTGAGGCATTTGGGAGACACCTACTTCTGTTTGGTCGTGCAGGCAAAGCCAAAATGGGCAGAGAGAGCAGTGCCCTCCAACCAGAGGGAAGGAGCCATGCCCACCACAGCCTCAAGCAGCCGGTAGGAGCTGGGGTGATCCCAGCCTCTGACTGCCTCATTGCCAGCATTATAATCGAGGCATCATCGTTTGTTCACACAGGAAAGTTTGGGTCAGGAGTCAGGGAACATACTTTACCATCAGAGATGATTTTAGGCTGCCTCTGCAGCAGGCTGGGGGTGAGACAGAGGTGATATCATGAGGACATGTCCCTTAAAAAAGGTTAGTGAAGTGTCTTTGTGCAGCATTAGAGGGATGTAAAGATGAGCCCTTAGAGTACTGTGTAAACTTAGAGTGGATAATAAACCATGATTTATGGGTTGTATGTAACCAAAGACTTGTTGAACCATGGTTTAATACAGAGTAGTTAAACCAGGGTTCTCCATAGTGGTCAGTATTGACCCCCAAGGGTCGATGGGACTACCCATTATTATTGTTGTTGTTATTATTATTACCATTATTCATAGTGAGTGGGTGCCTTCCAGTCAGTGTTGACTCCTGGTGACTGCCTGGACAAGTCCCTACAGTTTTCTTGACAAGGTTTTCAGAAATGGTTTGTCACTGGCTTCTTCCTAAGGTTGAGAGAGAGTGACTGGCCCAAGGTCATCCAGCTGGCTTCATGTCTAAGGAAGGACTAGAACTCTTCTCATTTCTAGCTTGGTGCCTTTACCACTATACCAAACTGGCTCTCGTTATTTGTAGTACCAATGGTTAAAGTAGTATTTATTAAATTGTTTTCATATAATAAATGTTTGGGGCTCAATGAACAATCTGAAACTTCATGAAGTGGTCGATGAGCTGATGAGTTTGGGGGCCCCTGGGTTCAACAGACCATGACTTAATTTGACGTTAGAATGCGAGTGAATGTGTGTTTGTCTGGGAGAGGAGGGTTGGTCTGGAGTTGCTCAGTAGTGAGCAAAATACATGGTAGATATTATCTGGGCTGAGTTTTCGTTTCACAGGTTGAAGCAAGCCAGGGTGTCTATAGGCCATAGTCCAAAAAAACTGGTGGTCATGATGGAGCTTCAATCACAGCTTTGCAGCTACTGTTTTGGCTTTTTGACCACACTCTGCGGACAACCTGGAAATAAGAAAAAAATAGACAAATTAAGCTGGGGTGGGGGTGGGCAGAAGGCGTAACCACTGTGCCTGGACCTCAAGGGCCAGGGTTTTCCCTCTGTCTTGATCTCCCTGTCTTCTTCTCAGGTCAATGGGGGTGACCATCTGGGAACTGTTTGAATTTGGCTCCCAACCTTACCGGCATCTTTCTGATGAGGAAGTCCTGACCTTTGTCATCAAGGAGCAGCAGATGAAACTGGCCAAACCTCGCCTTAAGCTTCCTTACTCAGACTATTGGTGAGTTCTTCCTCCTTATGCCAACAAATCCATCACCCACCAGATGGGACGCCATCAGCCCCTGCCCTCTCCAGAGAGGGTCCGTCTTCTAGTAGAAGCCTGCGATGGAATGGGAGGGTGACCATGGAAGACGGGGGGAAAAGATGCCACCTGGGGAATGATCGGATAAAAGAGAAACAAGTCTGCAACAGAGTAATGGCCAGAGAAAGAAACTTAGGAAGGACCCACCCTAACTACTCAGGTGGTAAATAGGGAGGGCAGGATATTTGTAC